CCCCTCTATCGATCGAGCAATGGGCTGCCACTGCGTTGCCCTATCGGGCCGCAGCGTCGCCGCCCCGTGGTTCTCGCTGCGGCTGCATCAATCCACGTCATCGCTGCATCGCCCCTTCGAGCCGTAGTGTCGCGGCCCGCGGTCCACCGCCACCCCGAGGCGTCCGCTCCAGGCTATCCCCATGGCTGCACCGACCCTCGTGTCGCAGCTGTGTCGCACCGCCGGGCCGTAGCGAGCGTGGCACGTGATCCACACCGTCGCCTGATACGTCTCTAATATATCTATAATTTTTTCGTTTCATGCTATTATATTATCCATCTAGGATGTTTTATATGCTATTTTATATGGTTTTTGGGACTAACCTATTAACCTAGAGCCCAGTGCCAGTTTCTGTTTTTTCCTTGTTTTTGAGTTTTACAGAAAAGGAATACCAAACGGAGTCCAATCGACGTGCCAATTTTTGATGATTTTTTATGGACCAAAAGAAGCCCCCAGAGTAAAAGAGCTGGGCCAGAAGAGTCCCGAGCTGCCCACAAGGGTGGGGGCGCGCCCACCCCCTCGGTGCGCCCCCCTATCTCGTGGACGGCTCGGAGACCCCCCTGACGTGAGACCTACTCCAAAAATTCCTATAAATACAGAAACCTCTAGAAAATAACCGAGATCGGGAGTTCCGCCGCCTCAAGGCTCTGTAGTCACCAAAAACCAATCGGGGCCCTGTTCCGGCACCCTGCCGGAGGGGGGATCCATCACCGGTGGCCATCTTCATCATCCTGGCGTTCTCCATGACGAGGAGGGAGTAGTTCACCCTCGGGGCTGAGGGTATGTACCAGTAGCTATGTGTTTGATCTCTCTCTCTCTCTCTCATGTTATTGATATGGCACGATCTTGATGTATTGCGAGATTTGCTATTATAGTTGGATCTTATGATGTTTCTCCCCCTCTACTCTCTTGTAATGGATTGAGTTTTCTCTTTGAAGTTATCTTATCGGATTGAGTCTTTAAGGATTTGAGAATACTTGATGTATGTCTTGCATGTGCTTATCTGTGGTGACAATGGGATATTCACATGATCTAGTTGATGTTTGTTTTGGTGATCAACTTGCGGGTTCAGTGACCTTGTGAACTTATGCATAGGGGTTGGCACACGTTTTCGTCTTGACTCTTCGATAGAAACTTTGGGGCACTCTGTGAAGTACTTTGTGTTGGTTGAATAGATGATCTGAGATTGTGTGATGCATGTCGTATAATCATGCCCACGGATACTTGAGGCGACATTGGAGTATCTAGGTGACATTAGGGTTTTGGTTGATTTTTGTCTTAAGGTGTTATTCTAATACAAACTCTAGGAAAGATCGAACGGAAAGAATAGTTTCATGTTATTTTACTACGGACTCTTGAATAAGATCGATCAGAAAGGATAACTTTGAGGTGGTTTCGTACCCTACAATAATCTCTATGTTTGTTCTCCGCTATTAGTGACTTTAGAGTGACTCATTGTTGCATGTTGAAGGATAGTTATATGATCCAGTTATGTTATTATTGTTGAGAGAACTTGCACTAGTGAAAGTATGAACCTTGGGCCTTGTTTCCAAGCATTGCAGTACCGTTTACGCTCACTTTTACCACTTGTTACCTTGTTGATTTTATATTTTCAGATTACAAATACCCATATCTACCATCCATATTGCACTTGTATCACTATCTCTTCGCCGAACTAGTGCACCTATACAATTTACCATTGTATTGGGTGTGTTGGGGACACAAGAGACTCTTTGTTATTTGGTTGCAGGGTTGCTTGAGAGAGACCATCTTCATCCTACGCCTCCCACGGATTGATAAACCTTAGGTCATCCACTTGAGGGAAATTTGCTACTGTCCTACAAACCTCTACACTTGGAGGCCCAACAACGTCTATAAGGGGAAGGTTGCGTAGTAGACATCATCGTCCGAGGCCATCCCCGCGGTTACACCGACCTGTGCTCCGCCGCTGTGCCGCCCCTTCGGGTCATAGTGTTGTGGCACGCGGTCCCCACCCCCGCCCTGAGGTCTTCCGTCGTCGCCCTGACCTGCCCAACGCCGCTGAGTCGCCCCTTTGGGTCGTAGCGCTGCAGCCCGCGGACCCCTCCGCCGTTACTGCGTGTCGACCTCCCGTGGTATGCGCCGCACCATCTTTCTCGGCACGGGAACGCCACCGTCCGCGCCGGTCTTCGTCACGTTATCGGGTTCTTCGCCTCCTTCGAGCACTGCCGCCGCGCGCCTAACCTAGCCGCCGCCGTCGCTCTTCATTGGCCGCCGCCGCTGCTACCCCCATAGCCGCCGTCGTCGCCCGTCCACCTCCTTCGTCTTCATCCAGCACCAGCCGTCGCCAGCATCGCCGTCATCTACCCCAACCACTTCGTCTACTCCGACAACCGCGGGCGACATCGGCCCGCGCCGATTGGCGCCGCAACCGTCGTCGAGTCCTTCTTTGCTGGCCTCTCTGACTTCTCCTACATGGCGTATGGCTCGTGCAGGTCCCTCGTCTTTGCATGCCCGGTGCTGGCAACACCGAAGCGTGCCTTCGTCCACGACGTGTCCCCGGGCCTGGCAAGCCTGGTGCGGCGCTTCGTCAACTTCGTCTTTGTCCGTCTACGCATGCCCGGTGCTGGCAACACCGATGCGTGCCTTCGTCCATGATGTGTCCCCCTGCTTGGCAAACCCGCCGTGATGCGTCGTCAACAATGTCTTCTTCTCGGCGCACCCCTACTTCGACACCACTGCGCCCATGCTAACTCGGTGCCTCCTTGCGCCCGCGGCTCCACGGCGACTCCCTCGACAACGGCTACCCCGACTCGACATCGACCACGGCAT